ATCACCATAAATTTCTTTTTCAGAATCTGATATAACATAAAGAATATCAGTTCAGAAACTGTAACAATGAACTAGGAAAGCCAAAGAAAGCAAAGAGAGGACCAAGTGAAGGAAACTGAGATGCAAACACTTTCAATTGAAATCATTACAACTGTTCTCCCTATACATAGAATATCTGCCCAACGTTTAGTAAGCTCTCATGCGGAACATTGAAAATCACACTGTTCTCCCTACAAATCCTCCTAAGAAAAGCATATACATAATCAATAGCTATCCTCTTAATAAGCCCAGAATCTCTTCTGGCCTTCACATTGGTGTTACCAAGAATATGTACAACCCCTGCCTCTTTGCACCTATTCAAGAACTCAACCTCATCGCCAATCGTTCCTCCACCACCGCTATAAGTTCTCGCAGGCACAATGGAATCCTGCGACGATGAGCCATTATACGTATACTCCTCAGAGTCCGAGTAACCCTCCATCATACTCTCAAGACGAACAAAGACTAAAATGCTATCATATAACATCTTCTCAAAGTCATCATCTTTTCGATGGACATCTTTATATCCATACCTTGCAACACAACGGAAGATATGGAAGCTCTTGGGCCCGATCCTTTTGACAAGGAACCGCTCGTCTGTAGGAACTGTGTACACTGGGAGATATTTTACACAGACAAAGGCGACGACGGAGTGGATAGCGGGGAGATTGGTGATGAAGTGGGAGAAAATGTGAGGGACGCCACTTGCAAGCTCAGTGTACACAAAACCGATACCAGGGACACGAACCAGCCCAAGTCCAGGGCCTAGGCCGAGGATCCATGCCATTGAGACACGACCGTGGACCTCAAATTCATAGCGCTTGACTGTTCCATAGTGCCATACGTACATTATGATGAGGCAGGTACCTGCAATGACGAGCGGGACCCAGCCACCCTGATCGACCTTGAAGAGGACCGCGGAGAAATACGTGAGCTCCACGAGGAGGGAGAGGCCAGTGAAGATGACGACAAGGATCCAGTGGCTCCGCCACACCAAGAGCATGATTGGGATCATGAGGAATGTTGTCACGAGCATGACGATCACAACTGCAGTTCCTGATTCATTAAAATGAGTTCATTAAAACCAAAATTAAACTAAAAGCCATGCAAAATTAAATTTTGTTAAGCTCACCATAAGCATTTCCAATCTGATTTTGATTCTTGAATCCAGCAGTGACAGCTATACAAAGAACCATAAGGATCCAATTGATATCTGGAATGTATATCTGACCGAGAAACTTTTTCGATGTATGAACAACTTTAACCCTTGGAAAGCATCCAAGTGCAAGAGCCTGCTTGATTATGGAAAATGTTGCTGATATCGTGGCTTGGCTGGCAACGATAGCTGCTGCTGTTGCAACAATGAACATTGGCCAATGTACACCATCTGCAACACAAGAAACTATCATAAGTATATGTATATGTTCCTATCAATCGCATATTTAATAGGCGATCCACCAAAGTAAAAGTAAACTTCATTGTTCAACCATGAGGAAAGTTGATGAGCTTAAGATTTAGACTCTAATTTGTTTTGTTATTTAATATGAGTGACAACTGAAGTCAGGTGATATTAGATCATGCATAGACTTGGGGGGAAAAACTCACTTGCAGTGCACATGAATTTACGTTAGAAGGGTGGAGAGTACCTGGAATTGATCGATAAAATGCATCAACTACTTGCCCTTGATTCTTCATGATATAAGCTGCTTGTCCAGTGTATGCCAAAAGAAGGCAAGGAAACACGACAAAAGTAAATGCAATCTACAAAGGAAAACAAGCCTAACCATATGAGAAAGGGGTGGCAAGATGAACAACTTCGATTGCAGTTCTTTAAAATTACCCATCACTAACCTGGATAGCTAGGACAGGAAAATGACACAAATCAGCAAACAAAGCTTCAGTTCCTGTCCAAGAATTGTATGAACAGATGAATAAATCAGAAAAGAGCCTCATACTAAATAAGGAGGAGACAGATATTTCGGGGATTCAGAAGAACTAGCCTGTGATGCTGAGCATAATTCCTCCAAGGGAAGTCCAGTTGGTTTTTCCTCGCTTGAAATACCGATAAATATAAACAGGATTGAAAGCCTTGAGAACTGAATGATCATATTTCCATATGTTGAAAGCACCAATAGATCCAATAAACAGAAACCAAATGAGGACGATAGGAGCAAAAAGCCATCCGACTTTGTCAGTGCCATAGTGTTGCATGCTAAATAAAGCAACTAATATTACCACCGCAACAAGTATAACCACATCTGTGCCATTAAGATTTTGAGTGTAAAGCAGTTAGGCGTAAGAAATTGTATAGCACTGTATCTTAAATCAACATTTTGTTAATTTTCCTTTCTTAATGTACTTTACTACATCATTTAATTGAGAATGGCATAGAGATGAATCCAATTACTTATTCATCATTCACCAGATAGTGCAATTCTAGCGGGGTAGATGAATAAGCCACTCTAAAGATATATAGAACATCGTTGTCACAGAGAGACACTAAGTAATGACAGACACAACACTTATAACTTCATAATATATAGAGGCTGCCTTCCACGCGTAAATATAACAAACACTAAATTAGAAACTCAAGAGACTGACATAGCAAAATGCAAAAGACGTTTGGAAAAAATCAAACTGTTTATTTGGCTGACCTTCTAGTATTTTGGTCATAACTTTGTAAATTTTTAAAACAAGAGCATGTCGAAAAAATAGTAATAAACGGATCATAGAAATACCATTGCTCATAGCAGGGTAGTCCACCTTGATTCCACCTGCTGCTGAGAGAACTGCAAGAGACCAATACACAAGCAGAATTTAGAATACAACATTGACATCATTAATCCTTCAAGAGTTTGCAACAATAACAACTTAAGAGCACAGAAATGCATTTCTAACACGTTGAAAAATCATCTTGTATTGTGTTTTTTGCATGAAGAATTTTCATATACCATGTAATGTGTATGAAGAATGTCGTGCTTGTAGTTTTAAACTTATCATTTATCCCCAACATCGTCAAGGTCACTACTCTAAAAGAGGAAGAAAATATGATTGTACAAAACAAAACAATATAAAGAGAAATGGTTCCAAGTTGGAGTTAGGATACAACGCATAATACTTAATAAAATAATGGTGGCAAAAAAAAAGTGAACATGTAGACAAGATTACACACCTGATATAGCAGGAGTAAGAATCCCATCTCCAATAGCCATGCAAGTTCCTACAAGAACAAGAATAAGAAGGGCATTCTTTTTATACGAGTGAGCCTCCAACCATCGTTTCACTTTCGCTGCAAGTGACTTCTCATCAAACGTCTGGCGACTATATGTTGTTAATTCTTCATCTGTTCGATGTTGGTTGGGGATAGTGTTCACTTTTGCATGCCGGCAAAGTAGTGAATAAAGAGCAAATGTGCCGCCTGATATAAAAGAAGAAACTTTCTGATCAATATGAACTAAAAAATGAAAAGACAACCAAGAACACTAAGTATGCCGTACAAGTTATCTTTTTGTGCCTTGTTCAACAAAATCTTACGCATTTCCATGAGGAAATGCGTTTGCAAAATCACCCTTTATCTCAATAAAAACTTCTTATTCTATCACATCTTAAGAAAATTATGTAGGTAAGCATTTCAGATGATAAAGAATTTCATGAGAAGTGGAACAAGAACTTACCCTGGCCAGCATCATTTGCTCTGAGCACAATAAACACGTATTTGAGGAGCGGAACGAGGGTCAAAGAGTATATTATCAAAGAAAGAGCTCCAATGACATCTTCGGGATCATGTACTCCATGAGGAAATGTGTTGTAGAAAACATACAAAGGCGATGTACCCAAGTCCCCAAATACCACTCCTAGGCTCTGGAATGCAAGCCTTGACAATAACAGTGCAGAGAATTTCTACAAGGACAAGCTAGAAAATGTTCAGCAGATCACAATGCTTTAATCACTATAACAACCATGTAGGTTAAGAACCATACCCAATTAAAAAATACAAATATCAGGTTGAACTCAATTTGTTTGAGTGCTCATTTTGAGTGGCCCTCTTGATGTCAGTAACTTCTATCAAGGAATTTCTATCTGACTTCAGTGCCATATCAAAAAGATAGCAGAAGATTGAAGGATTCATCTAATCGCTTATTATTAATAATTCCATTCGGTAATCCTTGAGTCAGCCATAACAACAACACTTTGTTCTTCCATATTTATTACAATCTTTATGTACACATATTACTGCCGATAAATGGTTGGATAATAAGAAAAGAAGAAAACAAGGATTTTCTCAAAAATATTCTTTTGCATTCACAAGAATGAACACGTATGTCTTGGTGCAAGCCGTGGAATTGTAGTAGGCTCCTTATCAGTTAGTTAATTCTAAAATCGTACTGTAAATTAATTGGTATGCCTTCAAATACATTTTAGCACATAGCATGTAGCACTGAATAAACTATTTCCACAGGACTTCAGTAAATTGTTTCCATAAGATTTCTATTTCAGGAGACAGCATCATGAGATTCTATCGACATCCATATAAAATTGGAAGAGGAAAAAAAAAGGGGGGGGAAGAGGGTGAAATTAAATTCAGGATACAAAGCTGCTATGAAAGTCCAAAATATTAAAACCTAATGAATCTATAAAGAAGAAAACTTACGAGTCTTTCCACAAAATCATAATGTATAGACGAAGATACGAATCAAGAAAAAAAAACCTTAAGTTCAGAAAAAACATCACAAATGAAAGAGAAAGAATAGATAAGGAAACTCAATACACACCCAAGGAAATGAAATTCTGCCTCTCCTCCCCTAGTACATCGAAATCCAACAAATGTAAAGAAAATAAAGTAGAAAATTTAAATCGCTGAATCAAAGTATACCTTCTCTCTGTACATGTTCCTGAGCCTCCCAGCCTCTTCGTCCATCGACTGATCAAGCTTCTGATCCAGTACCCACATGTTTCCCTTGGAGCACTCCTCGTCTATCGATTCCGTCGCCATTAATCCAACAATGCTCAGCACAACCGGACCAAAATCCAAGATCTCTCTCAATCTCTCAACACAAGCGACTTAACAAAAAATTTTGCCCAACACGTCCAAAAGAGGAAGCTTTCTAGATGCCTACCAAATTTACTCCAGACCCATTTTACTAATTTCCCAAAACTTAGCCGGAAACCAATACCAGAGCAGAACTCAATCTGGGTCGGTTGATTTCAGCTCTCAATTATACAACAAAAGAACAAATTTTTCGCTTGCTCTTTTCCAGGGTGTGGAGAGCTCAGTTAGTGATGCTCCCTGAAACCTTTTGTGGTCCCTCGGAATTATGGTGGAGTTTGGTAGCGGCCGAAATTTGTACTGTATCGGATCGGAGACCGGAGAGCTGATACTCGAATTGACAGAGGCAGAGGATTCCTACTGCCGCTGTATTATTCTGTTTAAAATTTTCTAATTTAAGAGCGTTTCCTGGGTTTTTGCCTTTTGCCCCCCTTAGATTTATTTTACTTGCAGATTCACACTTCACATTTTCTATTTTTCACCCTTACATTCTCCCGCACTATTTTTACGCTTTTCTTGCTGACATTAACATTCAGATGAGTAAATTTAGTAAATATATAGATTTTATAGATGGATTAATAAGATATATTTGGGTTTATTTGTATAAATGCTTTTCCCTTGGTGAAGAGGTTGTGGTGTCAAGAGCAACAGAAATCTTTTCGTACACCCACTTTTTTTTTGTTCTTGCATTATTTATGACACTTGGGTCCCACTGAATTCCATTCAATGATTAGCTCATGGGTTTGTTTATTTATTTATTGGATTTAGATGCATTGTATTGTTTTTTTTTTTGTCTTGTATTACAGAGACCAAACGTTGTTTCACTACCTGCCATTGAAATTGGCTGCATCTGATGTCCTTTCATAGTTAACTACATGCCGCTGATAGGTAGTGGAGACAGTAGTTAAATAGTAAAATATTTTGGTAAAAGCGTGTTGACTATTGATTTTTTATATATCCACGACGACCCTAATTTATCAAGACAAATTTTAGGTGCGGTTTGGATCGGGTGTTTTGAAGGAGAAAGAAGAAGAGAAAAGCTGTCAATTTGTCAGTTTTTTGACAGTTTTCTCCTAAAATCGTCTTTTATATCCGATCCAAACGGGCTCTTAATGAGATCGGTACATGAAATGGTGGCAAATCTGATTGAATGAAATTGTTTAATGAAATTCTCAAGGCGAGCTCTAATTTGTCTAAACAAGAAATAACTTATTTCAATTTGCAAATAATCATCCTACTCGATACAATTTTAGGGATCACATGAACTTTTAGCCGTAGAGAACGATTATATGTTGAAAATATGTAGCTTTTAATTAACTGTTCTTCCTCTCGCCGAGGGGCTTTCAAATGACGTGTTTACCGTAAGTTCTTAATGAAATCTCGGTGCTTCACATCAAAAAAAATCATACATTGTTTTTTGCAAAGTTCGGCAATTAGTTTTGTGTAGGTCCTTTTATAGCTAAACACAAGGGAGGCTCAAAGTGGGATTTTTTTTTTTTTTTTTGAATGGATGGTTATTTAATTATTCCACACAGTTACAAGAGGCTTCGGGTCAAATTTGATGGGGACCCAGTTAGCCCGCAATATTTATTTTTACTATTATTGTTTTGCCATTTTCCACGTGTATTTGGTTTATTGTTTGGGTGGTGAATTGCGTGATCAGCACTAAGGCGTATACGTCACCCTCCTTATCTCCTTATCTGCATCTCAAGTCTCAACGGCTCAACCCAATTTGACCGGCTCTCGTCAAAAGAAAACCTTTTATATTTCCATATTAATTTCCGCATTTTATTATTATATATATCCTTCAACAAAAGTAATAATTAATAATTTAACTTAATGCTTAGAGAAGGGGGTGTTTGGTTCAATTTCTACAAATTATAGGAAATGTTTTCCATCTAAAATATGATTTTCTTGTATTTCTTAAAAAAAGTTTTGAGAAGTCAAAAAGTATCAATTTTTTTTTGCTTTGCTTGTTTGGTTCAAAACAAGAAAATGGTTCATAACTTTATAGAAAATAGCAAGATTTTCTATAATTTGTAGAATTTGAACCAAACACCCCCTAAATTTATAGAAAAGTGTCAATGTGGACCATGTGGTGTCAGATTTCTGGGTGATTTTCGACCATTTTGAGAGAAAAATTAATTTCTGTAAATTTTGGTACTTTTGTGTAGTTTACAGAAAACATTTCTGTAAAATTTTTTTGAACCAAACACAGTTTACGAAAATCTACAGAAAATTTTTAATTACAGAATTACCATTGTCAGATATTTTGAGAAAACTTTTCTATAAAATTGTGCAACCAAACACCCCCTAAGACACACATTGAGAAACAAACGAATTCTTTAATAACATTATTTTTTGGAAAGTTATGGAGAATTCTTGTGTATAGATTATGCGAGAGTTTAGAATCCTAATCCTCAAAGCATATTTTCGTGTTTTGTCAAAGAATTTTGCTTTTGAGAAAGGATTCAAAGTATGGCAATAATGCATTCAATAATGGGGAATCAAGGATTACGTCCTCTTTAACATTACGATTTAATGATGCGCTGCATCACAGCAAATTCAGTGCTAATCCATCTATAGCTATGGAAGTGAAGACACGTGTTATTAACTCCTTCAATATAAAAAGATCTTAATCGCTTTTTAAAAGAAAATTTTGATAATTCCTCCCTCCTTCCTTTTCTATTATTAAAATAAATCACAATCGTCCATTAAATAATAGATTTTTATGACTGGCTAATTGTCTTTACTCTTTTCTCCAGACAAGGATCGAGGAGGCGAAGAACAAATCAAAACCTCCCACTTAATACATTATTTTCTCTCCTTTTCACAGACATATATATATCCATCAATCTTTCACAATAATTATAAAAAATATGCGACCCATCACATCCATTGTGGTTAGAAGTATCAAACTTTGCAGAGAATATTCCGATTTTTTGTGAAGATAATTATTAATTTGCTTCCGTGGACATGATGAAAATCTGTGGGCCCTCTTCCTCTTGCCCTGATATTTGTTCTTGTTTTCATCTGAGATGTTGATTTTTTTGGTACCACGTGTGCTCATTTAGATCTCTAGATTTGCAAATACAATTGACTAACTACAGCAAGTTGCAAATATAATGGATGGGAACGTGCAGTTATGCGCATTAAGTACCATCTTGACCACCAAAAAAACAAAAGTTTGGCGCTTTGTTACTGGGTTTAAATATTTGATTTAGGTGGTGTTAAGCTTTTAATTATTGGGTCTTGAGAAAGAGATGGGTTATCTACAACTACACATGTGCATGCATGTAATTGCCCTCATTGACCCCATCGTATAAGGTAATATCATGCTCACGAGTACTGGGACCTAGTAAAATAAAAACATAATACTGTATATGGAGATTACTTA